AGAGAGAGAGAGAGAGAGAGAGAGAGAGAGAGCTCTGTGGTGTGCTGATAAAGCCTAATGGCTAGCTACACGCACGCGTAATGTGTCATGCGCAGGCCATGGGAAACTACCCATGAATAAATACAGCTGGATTAGTCCACAAATGCTTACTTCCCTTGCATTTCTAATTTTACTATACATGTAGTATTCAGGACTTTTTCTCCAGTCCCTCCATTCCTGTTACTGTTATATATATCAAGTTTCCACTGCATTTGAAAGAATTGTATTTTGAATGGGCCAGTATGCATGAAATTGATTTAAATCTTTTTACTGTGCAGGGCCTTGAGGAAACAGAGTGGGCGCTGTAGAAGTGATCTTTATTATTATCTTTATTATATATATGAAAGTTGTGAATTCTGATGCTTTTTTTTTGGTGTCATTACAGGTGATTCTTGTGAGCTGGAGATACTTCCTATAGCAAGCAAAGATGTCAATGAGGAGGAGTTTGAGCACTTCAGTTTAGACAGATTCAGCAGGTGCCCGAAGAAATCGGAGCATGACCACTTCATACCAGTTTGCGAAGTTGGCGTAGAACATCTTCCAGTATCTGCTAGATGTTCAGGAATTTTGAAACTGATCAAACATGTGTCAAAGATCACGGTCAGGCTGACCATTTGCTACACAGCGGAGGACAGACCCAAACAGTTCCGATGTGGTGGGATAAAATGTGGGTCATATTTACGGTGTGGCACTGGCCATGTAGATACTGAACATGGATCTGTTAATGAAGTAGCCGACTATACAGCTGGGATGAATTTTGTAATCCGGACAGCTGCTCATGTAGTTTTCAATGACAAAGAAGCTGAAAAGACTACAATCGACTTTTTCTATGATAATGATTCTGATCGTTCACATGTTATACGAGCAAAGGGAGTTAGGGTGCTGAGGGTGAACACAGTCAGAGATTTTTGCGAATTTCTCTGCAAAGTTGAGAACAAACATGATGGGGCCAAGGTGATGGAAAGACTGAGTAAAACAGAAACAGAGTATTACAACAGCTCATGGCCTTCACCTCTGAACCTGGCAATTTGTGTATCCCACCCGCATGGAACAGCCCAGAAAGTTTCCTTTGGTACTATCAAGTCAAGTGAAGAGGAAACTTCTGATCAGGACACTGAAATATTGAAGATACTTGTTCACAGATGTAGTGTGCTCAAGATTGATGTGAAGAAGGTGTTCTTTTTCTACTTCAGTGAGGTCATCATTGCGGCTTACTGTTTACGTATGCTTGCTTCATTACGACCTCATCGCAAGGCAACTCTCCTCTCCCATTTAGAAAGCAAAGGGTTAATTCTCAGACCAACGGAGGAAGAAATGCAGCTAATTAAGCGAGAGTATCTGCAAGAGAGGTTCCGTCGCATGGCACAGATGGAAGACATTTTTAGCCAGAGATACGGCTCTCAGAACATAAGCCCTGAGTACAAGAAGGCACTAGTGCTGGAGATTCTTGATGAAATCGTTTGTGAGTATGCCTCAACGTTGAGTGTTCCTGATGGATTTTTGGACAGATACAAAACAACATTTAAAGAAATTGGTTCCAAAAACGTGGAGATAATGTTTGGAAAACAGTTTCAGGAGAATGACTCTTCATTCGTGCAGTCGTTGACCTACTCCGTGCCGACTTGTCCAGGAAGCTCAGGAGCACCAGTTTGGGCAATTGTCTTCTGTAATCCCGGACAAAAACTTTTTATGGTGAGTCACTCCAAAGGAGGTGGAAGTCTCGGCAATAGAGGTGGATTTGGAGTTTCTCTTTCATTATAGCAGCAAGGATCCTTTTTATAAAAATCGATGGCTGAGTTCAAGAAACTCATATTCCATATTTTTCTAAAATTGACTTTTTTTTTTTGCTTTCCCATTTCCGTTGGTCTTTTTCTCTATCACATACATTTGTCAGTGTGAGGATCGGACTGTAAAGAAGTTATTTACAGTCTGATGTTCTCGTCAAAAAGATAATATGCAACAGAGAAAGATCTGCAGCCACGGGAAAGCAAAAAAAGTAAAGGTAAAAGTGAATTTGAGAAAAATGTGGCGTACAAGTTTTAAAAAAAACTGAACCCTCCAAATATTTGTATGGACCAGGGACTGTGGAGTCTTTAGAATTTGTTGGGATCTGAACGATATATATATATATATATATATATGTCTTCTCATTCAATGTTCAACATTTGTTATGCCAGTTATGGTGACTTAAGGGCTAGATCTAGCTTTTATTTTGCTCACTCTTGAGGTTCCACCAGCCTTCTGCTCCCTACATCATGAGATCCTTTTTGGTCCTTTTTATCTGGTGCCCTCAACTAGCCTTCTGTGCTCATCGTGGTGTCTTCAGTTTCACACTGCTTGATATATACCAGGTTTGTCTTTGTGTTAAGATTTATTTGTTTTACTTGTTCTGAAATAAAACCTGTGTGGTAGGGGTGATTCTATTAGAAGTCAAAGGCGACTTTTTGTGAGTCCCCGCTTGCTTCCCATAGTATACTCATGGAATAAATAAAGACAAAATGGAAGTAGATCTTGCTTGTTAGTCTTTCTTGGTTGTCTTTCTCTTATTCGTAGTACTCATGAGTCATATGTTCATGTGATGTGCATTTGTCTTTGACCGTTTTGTGATAGTATGAGCATTCTATAATTTCAGATACCCTAAGTCCATACATATGTGTGCGCATGAAACATTTTGATCGCACACACACGCACACTCACACACAGACACACAAACACACACACAAAACACACACACACATACACACCCACACTCTTTCTCTCTATCTCCCTTCTTCTCCCTCATTGCACTCAACATTCACTTAATATACTCCACTTCCTTAGAACTCTACTTCTCTCTTGTCACCCTCTCATTTTATATTTTATTTCCCTTATCCCTCTATGTTTGTCCGTCTCTCAAACACAGCCCCCCCCCCCTTTTCGCCCCACCCCATTATACACCATACTCCATACAACCTCTCCTCCTAAGAGAAGTGAGGGGGCTCTGTGGCCTAGAGGTTAAGATGTTCGCCTCTCATTCAATAGGTCCCGAGTTCGAATCTGTCAAGAGACGGACATTTTTGTTCTCTAACATTGTCTTCTTTCTCCTCCTTTCCTGCTCTAGTACATTTGTAATGTTCTGTCGTCTGCTCTCGTCTCCACTTCTGCGTCCACCCCATTACTTCCGTATTGCTCCCTCCTCTGGGCTCGACAGTCTTTCTACTGCTTCTCCTTGGCTCCAATTCTTACTCGCTGTCTTTCAGCTACGCCCCTGATCAAATGGTAGGTAAGGTCTACTCCTTGCTCTCTCGGACTAGGGCGAAAAATCTCGGGGGTCCCATGTAATATGATGTAAGTTGCCCACGTCAAAAGTTAACAAGGCAAAATTCAAAATTTCCTTCCAACTGGTTAAATTATGTTTGGTGTGTCCCGCGTCCTCATTATGACCTTATGCAGTCGCGTGCGCCGTAAAACACTTACAAAAAACCCCAAACAAAACAAAAGAATGAAAAAAAAACCAGAAAAGAAAAGAAAAAAAAAAAAAGAAAAGAAAAAAGGAAAAAAAAAGAAAGAAAAAAGAAAAAAAGAAGAGAAATCGAGTTTGCGCGAAGGGCTTGTCTACACAACTCAAGGAGATTAAAAGTAGTTCTAAGTTCCTTGACACAACTACACAAGTCGTGGGGATGAGGGTACAAAGGGGGGCCACTGCTCACTGCTCGCCCATGATCGGGAATTCCCAGTGTTACGTGTTTTTATTCGACATCATGGCGGAAAGTAATCCTAGAACGAGAACCCAAGGCTGAGGTCTTGGATACAACTCAAAACCAATACTATTACGTGTATTATTGTTAGATTGGGCCTAGATCTAGATCTATGGCTATGTTTTATTAACTTTCTCTCTTGACTAGCTTTGCTGAGTTGGACCCAAGTGCAATTTAACATGTTAATTAGCCTTTCGTGCGTTGGATTGGAAGGTTGTAGTTGTAGATCTATGATGTAGATCTAGATCTAGAATCTAGATCTAGATCTATGACTTTAAACACCAAACAAAGAATACATTTCTAGATCTAGATCTAGAATCTAGTTTTTGTTTGGAATAGACTATGAAACATTGAAATTTTGAAACCAGATGTTGAATTTTGCCATTTGTTTCTAACCTCATCAGCGTTTTCACAGACAGGCTTCTATTAAATCTTATAATGCGTTGACAAATCTTTGACAGCAGGCGTCAGTGGTGTTACACAAAATTATATCACAATACATTAATTTTGTTTTGAAATAGAAAGTAGGTAGACTGGTAGGCTACACTACATGCATATATATATATAGAATCTATATGATGGTTCCAGATCTTTGTGAGAAACACGTTGCTTGGACTTGGACTTATAATTGGCCATATAGAAATCTATATCATGTTCAGAGAATGTTGACCTAGATCTATATATGTTTTGATTTGCTATCCATTTTATAGTTCAGAAGTTTTCTTATAACATATTAATACCAACAGCCTCACCATAGCATCATTTGCCTAAGCTATGGCGTTCTATCTCTTGATCTTTTTGATCGAAACAGCTTGGTTTTGACGCTGCTTTTTTGGTGCAGTACTCCGACAATAGGAAGAGTCGTTTTTAAACATCTCATGTCTGATAAGAGTATTACATGTGCTATACAATATCAGACAGAGTTGAAAGGCGCACGTCCTAGGCCTTCTCAGGAACTAAGACTAAGAAAGCCTAGCGCACGCCTTATTAAAAAATCCTATTAAATTCTGCATGTGTTATGTCAGGAGCTTCAGGATAATAATAGGCTGCAGTGCTAGTGTTAACAACAAAAATTGGTATCTCTAGCTTTGATAGGATGATTCTATAATCATGGGAGTTGTCATAGAGGTAAATATAATGGCAAATTGTGAGAGGGCCAGATAAAAATATATTACTTTCACTTTCTTTATTCTACGTTTGAGATGTAGGCTAGATCTAGCGTCTGTCAGAAAGTCTTGAGATATTCATTGAGATAAGCTGAGCTCCTAGTGAATGTGGAGACGGTTGAGGCATCAGCTTTGAGAGAAGGAGGAGGAAGAATCAAGACCGCGTACAAGACCTCTACTGCTTCTACACCATGGGGAATACTGAAAGTCGAGGTACGAATAGGACTGTTCTTTAACCAATAAACATTTATCTCCTTTTTGTTTTGTATTCCTTTTATTATCTCTAACTGCGTAGCTCTTTGAATTTGTCCCACAGTGATTTCCTACCAGAATTTTCAGCAGTCATACGTGCTGTTTTCTATACGCAGGTAAAAGTTTCTTTATTTTGTATGTTGGCAGGTTGCAATTTTTTTGTAAGGTTGGTTTGCACATGTTCAGCTTTCAACTGACAGGACATCTCTGCTCTGAGGACCTAAGGTTCTTTATTTGCCTCTTTGAGATAACATTTTATGTTTGATCTTGCTCGAGATGGGATGAAGGGTTGGAAAAATGTTGGAACAAATGTGAATTATCCACCAACTGTTTTTGAATGGTTAGAGGTATTGTGGAACAGGATAAACAAAACAAAAATTAAAGACCTTCTTTGCTTCTTTGCTGCTTTGCTGCTAGTCCTTTTGGCCATGTACTGTTGTTTGTTGAAAACTCTATATATATTGAATTGAAATTAATTCCATCTTTTTAGACAACAAACATCCCTAGTTCCCTCCAATAAAAACATCAGTCAAAAGTAAAAGACCTAGGCTTCTGATCTGTAACGTAACAAAGAAAGATACCGTCATCTATCAAAATACTTCCATCTTAATCATCTTGTATTATAATTATAAGTATACTTACGTCCTTAGAGCAAGCATCAAAATAAAATTCAGTGTGTATCTAGCGTAAAGATTATTATTGTTTATACTGCTGCTCATTTATTTTATTCATCATGTGATTGTAAGCCTACATGTTTGTGTGTGTGTGTGTGTGTGTGTGTGTGTGTGTGTGTGTGTGTGTGTGTGTGTGTGTGTGTGTGTGTGTGTGTGTGTGTGTGTGTGTGTGTACACGTGGTGAAACACCAAACCAATGTGCCAGGATCTGGACAATAAAGATGTATCTTATCTTATCAATGTCAGTTCATAGGTTATAGAATTTACATTCTTGGCTTTGAGAAGAGGATGCTTTTTGCAGAGATAATTGAGAAAGTGCCTCTTTTCCTGCATAAGTTGAAGGGCATATTCAAAAGTAAATGAAAGGGACTCTTTTTGTCAATCTGCCTCTTGAAAGTTGGAAATTCTGATGATGTGTTTTGCGTGTCATTACAGGTGATTCTTGTGAGATGGAGATACTTCCTATAGCAAGTAAAGATGTCAATGAGGAGGAGTTTGAGCACTTCAGTTTAGACAGATTCAGCAGGTGCCCGAAGAAATGGGAGCATGACCGCTTCATACCAGTTTGCGAAGTTGGCGTAGAACATCTTCCAGTATCTGCCAGATTTCCTGAAGTTTTGGGACTGATCAAACAAATGTCAAAGATCACAGTCAGGCTGACCATTTGCTACACGGCGGAGGACAGACCCAAACAGTTCCGATGTGGTGGGATAAAATGTGGGTCATATTTGCGATGTGGCACTGGCCAAGTGGATATTGAATATGGATCTCATTTTAAGGTAGCTGACTATACAGCTGGGGTGACCTTTGTCATCCGGACAGCAGCTCATGTGGTATTCAATGACAAAGAAGCTGAAAAAACAACAGTTGAGTTTTTCTATGATAATGGTTCTGATCGTTCAAATGTTATAAGAGCAAAGGGAGTTAGGATGCTGAGCATGGACAGAGTCAGAGATTTTTGTGAATTTCTTTGCAAAGTTGAGAACAAGAGTGATGGGGCCAAAGTGATGGAAAGACTGATCAAAACAGATACAGAGTATTATAGCAGCTCAAGGGGTCCACCTCTGAACCTGGCATTTTGTGTATCCCACCCGCATGGAACAGCCCAGAAAGTTTCCTTTGGTACTCTCAAATCAAGTGAAGAGGACACTTCTGATCAGGACACTGAAGTATTGAAGATACTTGTTTACAGATGTAGTGTGCTCAAGATTGATGTGAAGAAGGTGTTCTTTTTCTACTTCAGTGAGGTCATCATTGCGGCTTACTGTTTACGTATGCTTGCTTCATTACGACCTCATCGCAAGGCAACTCTCCTCTCCCATTTAGAAAGTAAAGGGTTAACTCTCAGACCAACGGATGAAGAAATGCAGCTAATTCAGCGAGAATATGTGCAAGAGAAGTCCCGTTGCATGGCACAGATGAAAGAACTTTTTCACAAGAGACACGGCTCTAAGAACTTAAGCCCTGAGTACAAGAAAGCTCTGGAGCTGGAGATAATTGATGAAATCGTTTGTGAGTATGCCTCAACGCTGAGTGTTCCTGATGGATTTTTGGACAGATACAAGAAAACGTTTAAAGAAGTTGCTTCCAAAAATGTGGAGATAATGTTTAACCAAGTATTTCAGGAGGATAACTCTTCATTCGTGCAGTCGTTGACCTACTCCGTGCCGACTTGTCCAGGAAGCTCAGGAGCACCAGTTTGGGCAATTGTCTTTTGTAATCCTGGATACAAACTTTTTATAATGAGTCACTCCGCAGGGGGTGGAAGTCTCGGCAATAGAAGTGGAGCTGGAGTTTGTTATTCATTTTAAGCATCAAGGATCCTTTTTATATAAATGGATGGCTGAGTTCAAGAAACTCGTATACAACCCCCTTTGGTCTAAAATTTAGGGTTTTTTTTGGGGTGGGGGGTGGGGGGAGGGGGTTTGGAGGCCGCAGATCTTCTTTCTCTGTCACATATCTTTTCAATGTGAGGATTGGACTGTAAATAATTTATTTACAGTACGATCATCTCGTCAAAAAGATGACATGTGACGGAGAAAGATCTGCAGCCTATGGAAAGCAAAAAAGTAAATTTTAGAAAAATGTGGCGCACATGTTTTTTAAAACTGAATCATTCAAATAATTGTATGGACCAGGGACTGTGGAGTCTTTTTTTAGAATTTGTTGGGAACAGAACGATATTTTTATGTACGTCTACGAGTTCAATTTTCAGCATTGGAATGATGACTCATGGGCTAGCGGTAATAGATTGACTTTGGTTGTCTATTACAAGCGCACAGCTTATTGAAAATATGGAGGCAGCCATCAAGGGTACGCCAAAACTGAACTTTATTCAGAAGAGTTACACAATAGACAAGAGACCAAAGGGGACACAATCATGACAACTAATAGATTACTACTTAGAAGATTTATGTCCCTCTATTCAGTATGATTATTACACAGATTGATCGTTACTTTATTCAATTAGCTTTTATTTTTCTCACTCTGTATGTAATTACTGCTAAGGTCATATTTGCTTTGAGAATTCGCTCGTCTTCTAGTCCCTACACCATGAGATCCTTTTTTGGTCCTTCTTAAGTGGTGCCTTCAACTGGCCTTCTGTGCTCATGGTGGTTTCAGTGTCACGCTGCCTGGTACTGTATTTGTGTTAAGACTTGTTTTACTTACTTACTTACTTACTCTCTCCGTATACCGTCAGGTACATAAGGCGGAGAGCACTCGACGCCACGCTTGTCTGTCCCTGGCCACGTCCTACAATTTCGGCACATCTAGACTAGGCCGTGGGTGATTGCCTCATCTCTTATTGTGCCTCTATAGCTTCCAGTTGGTTTTCCTCGTTTTCTTTTTCCAGTTGGTTTCCAATACCATGTCTGATGGGGCAATCTTGTCTTCGGCAGTCTTAGAACATGTCTTAGAATATACATCTTCTCTTTTTTATGGTTGTGTTGATATCTTCAATTTCAGCTCTTTCCTACACTTCATTATCTGTAATAAATTTATTTTATTTTGTTAGTAAAATTCTTTGTAGAAATTTTGATTGGAAGCTTTTTAATATCCGTTGAATTTTTTTTCCCCGTATCCCTGAACCCTACGTCAATACAGCCAAAATATTGCTATTATATTTTTAAAATTTCGTCTTCAATGAAATGATCTTTGATTTCCGTATAGTTTTTAATTTTAATTTCTCTAAAGCAACCCATACATTTTAAAGTCTTTGGTGTGTGTCGTCAAGGCAGTCTGCAGTTTTGGATATAATGCTGCCAAGGTAGCCTACTTGAATTTACTAATTTCTGTAAGGGGTTCTCTATAAAGAGTGATGGGCGTAATTTCTGATGATAGTTGTAGTACTTCTGTTTTAGATACATTTATTATAAGGCCAACTTTTTCTGCAGCTTTTGCTATTTCGTTTGTTTTTGATTTCATTTCATGTACTGTGATGTTTAATGGGCAGATGTCACTCGCAAAATCTAAATCTCCTAAATATGTGCAATTTGTCCATCTAATTCCTGTTTCAATGTATTTGCTCTGTCTCATTATAAAATCAATCACAATTCCAAAAAGTACAGGTGATAATAACAATGTCCAACTCAAAATATGAAATGAAACAATGTTGTAGGGATGATTCTATTCGAAGTCGAAGGCGACTTTTGATTATATATATATATATGCGTCCCCCCCGTGCTTCGCATAGTATACTCATGGAATGAATAAAAACAAAATGGAAGTAGATCTGGGTTGTTAATCTGCTGTGTTGTTACTATGTTAGTCTTTCTTATTCGTAGCACTCTTATTTTCCCGTGGATGGTTGGCGAGTGCTCTGGTGTGGTTTGCTCTTTCTTTCCTATCAAACATCTTTTCGTTCTGATCTCTCCTCCTTCTTTTTTATGTATGTTTGTTACTCTCTTGTAACACCTCTAATCTGCGGCACTTATATTACCTTTTTGTGTTGCAAGTGCCGCAAAACTCTTATTCGTAGGTTAGTACTCTTGTATTCATAATGGGAAGTGTATAATATATTGTCTTTGACTGTGTTGTGACAGTATTAGCAGCTGTTTATGTGTTAACGATAATCTAAAGAGCACGTTCACGCGCAAGTATTTTATAAGTATCGGATGGATATGTGAGCATATATATATATGCTGGTGTGCGTATTATGTATGTGTGAATTGTGTGTGCGTGCGCGCGCGCGCGCGCGTGTGTGTTTGTGTGTGTCTGTGTGTGTGTCTGTGTGTGTGTCTGTGTGTGTGTCTGTGTGTATTCAAGTGTGTGTAAGAAAGTGAATAAGTTCAATGAGTGAGATAAAGCGTATTGTATTGCAAAATAATAGGCTTTATGAAATTGATCAGCATTATTAATATATTTTACATATTAGTTGAGGACAAATGTAAAAAAAAAAAAAAAAGAAACAAAGTCTTCTGCTCCAATTAAGTAAAATGTGAGACAGAGTGGTGAAATCAGGCTCTCGTCAAAATAATTAGAATGAAGAAACTGGCATTTTTCCATAAGTTTTTGAATTATTATTTTTATCGAATTTTTTTTTTTGGCTCAACACTTTTCACTCCCATTAAACAACATATTTTTATGTGGATTTTACTGAAAGACGTTGATTAAAGGCACAAAAAATGTAAATTTTCATTTTCCACAGACTCTCCTCAAGCTAAGGAAATAACTAATCTTTGGCGGTCATTTTCTCACTTATTTTACCCCTGGAACCAGGTGATCCTCAACTCCTTCATTCGCAAAATATCTCGACTTGTATTCAAGATAAATGGATATATTTTTTCCTCCAAAGCAAGACAGATGAACAGGCTTTAAGATGATATCAATAACTCTGCTTTCCCAAAAAATTGATGATCGCCTGATTCCTCCACGTCGTGACTCAAATGATATATATCTCCTCCACAAAAAAACAAGATCACCAACGAGGAAGTATTAAGAAGAACCAGACAGAGCCCGGTCAGAGATGAGGTGGGAAGAAGACGTTGGCGATGGATTGGACACACTCTCAGGAAGTCAAGCAGCTGCATAACAAAGGAAAGTGTTAGATTGGAACCCACAGGGTAAAAGATCAAGGGGAAGACCTCGTGGAACCTGGAGAAGAGTCACGGAAATGGATGTACAGAAAAGTGGGAAGACGTGGAGTGACTTCAAGCGACTAGCCCAGGATAGGGAAAGGTGGAGAGTGTTTGTTCGTGGCCTATATCCTGACCCAGGGTGAGAAAGGCAATAATGACAAAAAAAACCGAACCCCTGAACACTCAAAATCAACATTCAGAAATAAAAGAAAACAAACAAGGTTACAACTGCAAAATTCACATTGTTTTATGTAATGTAAAAATACAACACAACGCATACACAGAATCTCTCTAGGTAGGCCTACATTGCAGGCACTCTAAAAAAAAAGAAGTGTTTTGCTATGTCTTCTGAGTCCGTCAGTAGTAAAATTAATCATGAGAGATTGTGAGAGTCGGTCAAACAAACAAGGGAGGCGAATGGGGAAATATTATCAGAAGTACAAGTCACTTTATGACATGTATCGATCAGTGAGTATATGACGTTATCTCCCTTCATTGTCAACACAGACTTAAGAACTTTTGTTTTTCGTTTATATGCACAATTCTATTTTTGTCATGCAATACAATTTCTCATATTATGACATGGATTACCATAAAGGAATGAAAATGGGTGTCTGAATGGAATTTTTTTACTGGTATTTTCACCTCGATTTTCTCCTTTAATATGGGTCTGCTGTCCATGTGATTGAGTTATTCTTATTCTAAAAAAAAAAAGCTTTCCATACATATGCAATATGTCCACTTTTATTGGCCTCTAAAATTGGGGCTGTTGGGGAACTTTCAGGCCTCTGATTTGTGAAAGCTGCCTTAAGCTTAATTAGGCCTACTTAACTAGCATCTTATTAGACATGTATTTTTGATAATTTTAAGGTGTCTATGTATAGTTATATTCATGCGAAAAATATAAGTACATTACATACAATTTATAAATTATATTGCTTTTTGTCTTTTATATTCCCATCTTTGTTGTGTTTTAAATTTGTTGGTGTGTTACATTTTTAAAAATTGTTCTGATGTGTTGTATTTCTATTTTTTTGTGTGTGTTTCTCATAGCGTAATGTAATTTAATTTGATGTTGTTCCTACCCTTTTAAAATGTATATAAATGTGTTATGTTCGAGCGTGTCTCCTCCAAAACCGAATACTGACACTGGCAGGCCCCTTTGTGTGTGATTCCATAATTTACTTGTAATATCCTGTACTTCTGCTAGAATTTCGCACGTTTAGGGTTAACCCGGCATTCTTCAGATAGGTGAACACACGCCCTTATTTGTTGATTTTTGTGGTTGTATAAATATGTGCTGTTCTAATTTTGATTTCATTCTTTTGTGAAACCTATATTTTTGACGTTTTTACACTCTGCGTGGCTACAAATGATATTCTGGATGCTTAAAATGGAGCACAAGAAATTCTGGTGCTATAGATTAAGTTACCTCTTTCAACATATAGGCCTACGTCTTCACAGAGTTGAAAGCTTGAAAATTAATCGCAACTTTTATGGCAACTTTTGCCATTTTTTGTGGCAACTTTTGGCAACTTTTGGACAAAAAAATGACAACAAATGCAGATGCTAGACTTAATGATTGTGCTTATAATTCATGATGCACTTATACATTATAATTATAAGTATACATAAAAGTATAATAAATAGATCTCTCTCTCTCTCTCTCTCTCTCTCTCTCTCTCTCTCTCTCTCTCTCTCT